ATCCGTGAATATCATAGGTCAAGCCTATACCGTCTATATGCTCTTGCCTCCCAGAGGACATTCATATGTTGGCGACAAGGAAGCTCATGAGACTTCCTGCAGCCAAGCCACCCACAAGAACCATGCTCATAAACCCACCAGCAGCCTCTCGTTCATCCACAGAAACCCATTGACCAGCTCCCATCATACAGCTGCTGCCAAGGTATCCGTTGGAAACCCCGAACAAAAGCTGCACGACGAAGAGATAAAAGAAATCACTTTGTACAATGGCCCCTCTCCCGGCAATGTTACAAAGCAGGTAAAGTGGAATGAACCCAAGGCGGGCCACAGAAATGACGAAAAGGACCCAAGGACGATGGGCTAATGAAAGACGGGGGACGATGACTGACATTCTCCCAATCAGATCACCGGCATTCCAAAAGAGAAAAGCCACTGGAATGAAGACTTCTCGAGAGAATAACCGGGAACGATTGGGCTCTTGATGTACGGACTCGATTTCTGCGGTGAAGACCGCGTACACCATAGTAATGGCAAAGCAAAGGAATAGAGCCGATGCAAGAAACCGTAGTTTCTTGAACAAAACCCAGAGACTCACCGTCTTATGAGCATAACCAGAAGGAATCGAATCGTGTTGTTCCTCTGGCAACTGTAGGGATATACCCGACCGTCGTCTGACAAGGGAAAGAAAGGCGACCAGCGAGATAGCAGCAATGGCGGTGGCAGTGATGAAATACATAAATGCGGACTTTGATGAAGCCTGAGGCATGTTTTGTCCCTTACTCTCCGGCACTGCCAAAGCAGAGATAATTTGTACCACACACGGAAGCACGCCGGCTACTCCCTGTCCTGCCATAATGGCTTGTGTATATTCTTCTCTCCCGAACCCAGACACGTAGGCAAAGACGCCATTCTGATTGATGCCGGTTGCTAAGCTTGCCCCAAATACCATGAACATCAGAAAGCTGAAGTAGGCTTTAACGCCGACATCTTTCATAAAGACTGTCGAAAGCGCCAACAGCGAGAAGACGACAATATTTATAAGTAGAGAAAGCGTTACTCGTCTCGGGTATGACGCCCCTTTCTGCAGTTTGGCGAGAATGAATGCGGAGCCCAGGTTAGTGATGGTCGAGACTGTCAGAATCGAGGGTTGGAAATGGGTTGCTGTCCAGTTGTCCGACCGGAAACGGAGATAGAAATACGGTGCTGCGGCAAGAAACATGTTCCTAATCCAGGTACGGCAGAGTCAGAAAGCTTTCAGGCGAAATCGGTAGGACATGGGTCAGATGGGGAGGTAACACAGGTATGAGGAACGTACCATGCCCACAACATTGACACGCCCAGAATAAAGAATACGGCATATTCATATCTGGAGAAAGGCGATTCATGCTGTGGTCGCGGGGAGATTGGACCATGATCGTCGCCATCAACCCCCGTAGGGTGCTCTATCGGCTCGTAGGCCTGCGGGCGAGTGATCAAGCGCCGAATGCGATCCATTGCTGTTCTATATGGTTCGTTCAGTCCTTTCCGACAATGGGAACTGAATAGATCAAAAGGAAGCAATCAAGCCATAATTAACATTTGATGGCTTTCATGAACCACAGCTCGCCATGAAGCCAAGGTGCTTAGCAGTGATCGTTAAGGTGCTGTCAGGAGGAATAGTGCCAAGACTTGTGACCTGCGATGTCATGTGTTGTTGCCTTATTTTCGGTTCCGTATAGATAGCCCACGGAATGCTCCGGAGAGGAGAGGGGACAGTCACCAATTGAGATTTTACGTTTTCAGAGACCCCATGAGCTCGCTGGTTGTGCCTATACTTCGATTTGTCTCACTACATGTCCAGTTATGAGGTCTTCCCAAAGGACTTATTTCATCAATAATGCATACTCTCGACACTATTGACCGTCTAAGAAGAAATTTATAGACACAAAATCATAAAGGGGATATTCTATAGGTCAAGATGCCATACTCGCGAAGTGGGGAGTTAACGTAAGAAAACAAAAAGAAATAAGCGGACATGCAAGGGAGTCTATGTGAGCGCCTCCGGGCCCGGTAATCCATCTAAAGCACTAATCACTTTTTCGCGACTCAGAGGGGATGCTAGTATCCTCGGATATCTCTGTCACATCCTCACTCTGCATGTCCCAAGCGGTTTCCAGCGCCACAGGGTTGGCAGGAGAGTTTACGGGCTGGTCCGTCACCTCGCCGCCACTCATCTGCCATTCCATCAATTTTGTGAAGGCGCCGTCAGGGCGAGCACTGAGCTCCTCATAACTGCCCTGTTCGGCTACCCTTCCGTCGGGGCCAAGGACAATAATCGTATCTGATCTCTTAATAGTAGAGAGTCGATGAGCGATGCTGATGGTAGTATTGTTGCCACGAAGGAGCGCGGTAAGAGCACTGTTCACAAGAGTTTCCGACTCTGCATCGAGAGCAGAAGTTGCTTCATCGAGTATGAGAATATCAGGATCCTTGATCAGAGCCCGGGCAATCGCAATGCGCTGCTTCTGGCCACCAGAAAGCTGAGCGCCTCGGGGTCCCACCTGGGTGTCGAGGCCATCCGGCTGGACAACACAGTCAGCTGCATGTGTAAACCAAAAAGGAGGTCGAGTAACTTACAAAGTCACTTATAAACTGACAGTTCGCTTTGCGCGCAGCTGCAACGATCTCTGACCGTTTGGCCTGAGGCTTACCATACGCAATGTTCTCCGCGATGGTCCCCGAAAAGAGGACAGGCTCTTGGGAGACAATGCCAATCTTTCGTCGAAGGGATTTGGCGTTCATATGGGTAATGTCTTTCCCACCAATTAGGACCCTTCCTTCAGTAACAGAGTAGAAACGGAGCAAGATGGAAGCGATTGTTGATTTCCCACCTCCCGAGGGCCCAACGATAGCAACATTAGTCCCTTGGGGAATTTCGAAATTGAGATCCTTAAAAATGGGGACAGCAGGCCGAGTTGGGTAACTAAAAGTCACGTTTTCGAAGCGAATGGGACCTCGCGCCGAAACGACCTTCTCGCCCTTGGTTGGAGATATGGTTGGCTGACGATCCTGCAGTTCGAACAGTCGACTAGCTGCCCCGACACCTTTCATCAGTTCAGAATAAAAGCTCGAAAGACCGAACATGCTTGACCCTGCGTACGCCGTGTACATCAGAAATGAAGTTAATTCTCCAATGGTTATGGCACCAGATTGGACCATGCCTCCTCCGACGTAGAGCAATGCCAGGATGGTCATGTTGCCAGCAAACCCGGTCTAGATAAAGTTAGATCTATGATAAGCGGTAGGGTTGGGTAACAGTTGCGTACGGAGCTAAAGAATGTGGCGCTGATCAAGGATTCCCTCTTGCCAAGTTCAAAAATCTTTCGCACTTGATTGTTATACCGGCGAACCTCGAGAACCTCGCCAGCAAAGGACTGGCTAGTCTTGACGTTGCCCAGACGCTCCTCCGCAATCTTAGTCAATGTTCCAAGATTCCGCTGGATTTGACGACTCAGGTTTCGAATCGCTCGTCCGTAGAAAAACGCTCCAAGGCCGATAGGAGGGAGAAGAAGAGCCAGTATACTGGAGAGCTTGAGACTGACGTAGGCCATTAAACCGAACCCTGCTGCACCGCTAACTGCGGCGCGCAGTCCATCGGACAAGTTCTGTGTAATACTCTTGCCGACAATAACGGTATCAGAGCTAAGACGAGAAATCAAGTCACCGACCCGATTCGCGTCGAAGAACTCTGCATCTTGCACAAACGTCTGGCGGAAGAGTTTCGAGCGAAGTCTGGCAACGACGCGCTCACCAACGATACGCAGGATGATAATGCGACCATAGTTCGCCGCAGCGCCCAGAGTGAGAATACCAGCCAACGCACCATAGAACATGGGAAGGCTCAGACCAAAGAGCTCATTACCACCTTCTGTAGTCGCTTTTGTAGCCGTATCCATGATCTTTCCAATTGAAAATGGAATGGACATTGTAATTCCAGACGATACCAGCAGGAAAAGAAAGGCGAAGGCGAGCTTCTTCGCCTCCGGTCGAGCGATCAGTAAGAGCCTCCATATTTCCCTGAACCCGGCCTTCTTTCCAGCAGCACCATCTTTGGCGAGCTTCGCACTGAGGTTGACCTGTGCTGCCTGAGCGGCTCTCTCCGATAGCTCAAAACCTTTCTCGATGTCCTCATGCTCCTGATCCTGGTGTATCTCTGACCTCACTCCCTGACCGCCTGTCGACTTGACGTTCGGCTTTGCCTCCAATGATCGTTGGGAGGTAGAAAACAGCCTGACTGTACGCACAAATCGCGGTTGAACGGTTGAAAAATCTTTACTATAGACATTGGCGTATAACGAGGACGCGATTGCGGATTGATACGGACGCGGGTTGCAACTGTTACTTATTGACCCGGAGCAACCCGAAAACTGTCGGATGAGACCATTGCGAGCGCTGTGCGTCGAGGAAATTACGCAGGCGTGGGAATATAGGTCTGCAAAGAGTCCTTGTCGAGGAACTCGCTTCGTGCTCAACCCAGGAGCCCAGCAGGGAAGCGATCTAATCCCGCGCATCTGGAAATTTGGAGAGAAGATGCGGAATTGGACGGGGATTCAGAATGATGTCACGGAAGAGAAGCTGGATGCCATATCTCGTCACGGGAACACTAATGTTGTGCTGATCATGACACTGTCGAGCTCAATTGCTGCTCGAGGAATGGATGGGTGCTTGCAACACTGATGCGACGTAAAATGCAAGCGTCAGCTGAAGTTGAAACTATGCTTGTTCGGTCGGTCGGTCGGACAGGGATCGGAGTCGGCAGAGCGGCTTTCCCAAAATGCCTGATTCTGCCATCTCGAACCGCCTTCCATAGAGGTTCGGCTGCAATCGAAGCTGATCGAGAGCTTTCGATGCATGTGACTTAAATATACATTGAGGTTTACATTTGTTTTGAAGCTACTAATTCTCTTGCTGGCCTTGGTTGAATAGCTTGAGTCATTCAAAGTTGATGATCTCCAGCAGCTCTTCTTTGAATCGCACATCTTGTGAACATAATTGTCTCTTCATCGTTCATCGTCTATTACTGTTATACTACTTTGTTTCTACCCCGCCGCACCCCTCATAACATACCAGCAACAGCTTTTCGTTAAGCGTATTACCACCAACCGCCGCGATGGTTTTGGACTACAGCAAATGGGATGCTCTTGAACTGTCTGATGATTCGGACATTGAGGTTCACCCTAATGTCGACAAGCGCTCCTTCATTAGAGCGAAGCAGGCTCAGATCCATCAGCAACGGCACCAGCGCCGTATGGAGATTGACACTCTAAAGTACGAGCGAATTATCAACGATGGTCTCCTCTCACGTATTGATAAGCTCCTCGCATTGCTTCGCGAGCATGAAGGATCTTCACGGGATCCTGAGGAGCTGGTCTTTCAGGCCGTGATGGAATCGGCAAGCAACCCCGCTGAAGACCAGGCGCCTGTCCCACCGGAGGGCGTTCATACACACGAAAAGGAGCAGCCGAAGTACTCTCAGATGCTAAGTTCTTTAGTCGATCAAGTTAAGAAGGAGATCGGCGAGTCGAGTCCCGATAGCCGATACCAGGCATACATCAAAGGTGTAGAAGGTCACCAGGACAAAGTTCAGGGGTTACAGAAAGAATTGCTCTCTCGCCTTGCGCAGCTGGAGAAGGAAGAGTCCAGCAAGATTACGAGCGATATGCTGCATACTGGATTCGACACATCCTACGTATCAAAATCAAAGGATAAGGGCAAGGCACCGGCTACGGCGAAATCAGAATCTGTGGAACTTCTAAATCCACGTGCAGTACAAGATGATGCCCCGAAAGCTGATGATAATGAGCAAGGCGACCCGGACGACGTCAAAGCGAGCGATCTGGCCAAGAAGTTTGCTCGCATCAACCGTAATGACTATAGGGCATTGCTTCAATTTATCTCGGACCACCCGGAGATTGTCGCAGAGAAAGAGACGGATGGCCTTCTAGTTGAAGCTTTCAACAGCCAGATGGAAGGAAAGGAGGAGTATGCTCGTCAGTGCGTACACCAGGGGCTGTTGTTGCAATATTGCCGCTCTCTAGGTCGAGACGGGATCTCACTTTTCTTCAAGCGGTAAGTTCAAATTGACCAATAAATGTGTGGAACTGTTGCTAAAACAGTCTGGTCAACAGTATCACGACTAAAGACCATCAAGCGGCGACACTTTTCCGCAACGACGTGAACGAAACCTACAACAAAATTAAAACCCGTGCGGCGGAACTCGCCAAAGACAGCTCGGCTGCCAATGATCCTGCTGGAGTAGAGCAGATTCAATTGCATGCCGTCGATCCTAACACCAAGATCACTATTAATATCCCACCCGCAGACAGCAATGACCCGGCAGAGATCGAAGCTCGCAAGATTTTCGAGTCCTTCTCGGAGGATCTGCAGAAGGCATTGGCCTCGGAGTCCCTTGATGAAGTCAACAAAGTACTTGGTAAAATGCCCGTCAACGAGGCCGAAGAAGTTGTGGAGAAGCTCGGGGCTGGCGGCTTGCTGAGCCTTGAGGAAGGCATCGTTGATGCGACCACAGAAGAAGGCAGGAAGAAGCTTGAGGAAATTGAAGCTGAGGGCAGAAAGGAAAAGCATGTTGAAGAGATTGGTGAACCTGGCGGAGATGTTACCGAGTTGGATTAAAGCAACTGGTGAATGTTATAGTTACTCTTTGAGCCGAGTGAGTTCAGTCATCCATTCTGCTCAATGTATTGCAGACAGTATCCGGGGTTGTTTTCTTCGGCTTTGAAGGATGTCAATCAAGACCATGTAACAAGCGCCACTTGTCGGCAATCTACTGCATGCTACCCTAGGTTTAACCTTGGGCGAATTATGTAGATCCTCTACGGTGAAGCCGTACGGAAGGCGACCATAGGAGCAGGTAATTCATACGTCCATTCAACGAGGATGATAAAGAGGAGGGGAAATACCAAGGTTTAAATACACGGGTGCCAGAAGGATATGTCAGTAGTAAAGGAATCAAAAGCTGCAGCTGAAGCGAACACGCAACCATGACCTTCAAAAGTAGGAAACCTCGCGCTCCACTCATTGCGGATCAAAATGATAAAGGGAAGGCATCGTTGATCAAACGCGAGTAGTGATGTTCGTGAGCAAGATGCGACAACAATATGAAACAGGGTGTATTGTCATTAGATAATTTATTTCTTTCAGTCTCTCGATGATCCGCCGTCCTCCGTCTTGCTTGTCATGTCAACGACCAGCGTCCAACCCCTAGATCCCACTGGCACCTGGGGCATTCTGATCCTTCTTCAGATCCAGTAGCAACTCACGGAAACGCTCCTTGCCTGATCCACTGGCACCACCCTTCGCGCCCTTTCCTGAGATGTCGACGAGCTTCGCGATGCGCTCCCAGCTGGTGCCACCGGCAGAGGTGTCTTCTCTGTTGGCAAGGAATTGTTCGGCATCAGCGCGGGTTTGAGCCCGGAGCTTGTCCGTCTTGTTGTTGTAAGATACGTAGAAATCGTCGATGTCCTCTCGAGCCTTCTTGATAGTCGCCTCCTTCTTCTCGTTCGAAAGTTCTGCACGGCGGGCGATTTCCGCGTCTCGTCTCTCACGCCATTCCCTTTACAATCCGTATCGTCAGCGTGCGGATCCTCGCAGGCGGGCGAGAGTAGAAGGAGTGGAGCGTTGACACAAAAGGAAAAGCTATGAGACATACCTGACGGGCTCTGGCTCTTCCTCTGGCTCTTTGTAAGAAGGATAGCCAGTTGGCGGGAAGGGTGCGCCTGTTCCGGTAATTGTACCGCCAGGAGCAACTTGCTGTTAAGGAGAAGGGCGTCAGTGCTCCGTAAACGACGTCGGCGCTAGCATGAGCAAAATAATACCTCGTTCTGTGTCTCTATAGCAGGAAACGAAGACTCAAACCCCGAGATTTCCTCAGGGGCTGCTTCGCCAACTACGGCTCCTTCCGCACCGCCCAGTAAATCATCACCGATATCTGTAGCAACGTGGTCTTGAGCAGTGGCAAATTGTTCGGCATCATCTCCAAGAATAGCGCGCTCCCGAGCAAGGAAGTCGTTTTCATCCGATGCCCCGTTGGTCTCGACAACGTCAGTCTGGCCTGGGTGTATCCAGATTAGTATCATCAATCAGGTACTAGCGGGATTGTTGCGGGCAACCAACCCGCAGAAAAGTCCTCCAGTGAGGGGAAACGGTCCGCCATTTTTGAGTAGTAATTGAAGTGTTAGAGTCCCAGGACTGGCCTGGAAGTGCTGTAGATCAATGTGGATGAAGGAAATGAGATTAAGGTTGAATGCAATGCTCCAGCTGGCGCTTTGAGGAGGTGTGAATGAGTGTTGATGGAGCCCGGGGATTCTGCCGCGGAGGGCGGTCAGGAAGCTTCCGTAGTTGGTCTGGAGCTTCGATGAGCTTCACTTCATGAACACTGTCAGCTTCACATTACTCTCATATCATATCTTCGATGATCTGCTCTCGCTTGAAGCTGCTTATGTTGTTGGTGTTTCTCAATTGACCCGACGCCAGCATCTATCCCTTTGTCAATATAACTTCCTGCTAAGCTCCTCAAATCTGGAGTAATATCAGTAAAGCATCCAATCCAGCTGGTTTCAACTCTTCAACACATCGCCTTCTAGACACGTCCTGTCGTGGCTTTCTTTCAGCATGGCGTACACTGATGATGCTGTCAAAGCCAAACTCTCAGCGCTAAACGAGACGCAGGAGGGTATCGTCACAGTTGCCCAATGGGTAATGTTTCACAGGTAATTGAGCCATAGTAATGAGTCTCTTAGAGGAGATGCTAATTATTTCTCGACATTTAGACGACATGCAGAACGAACAGCGCAACTTTGGCTACAGAAACTTCGCGATTCGCCTGCGCCCAAAAGGCTGAACCTTATCTACCTTGCTAACGGTACAAACTTTGCAAATCGGACCAGTGCTCTTGAACTAACGAGCGGTTAGAGGTCGCACAACAATCAAAAGCCAGACGGAAGGATGATTTCCTAATCGCATTCTCTCCGGTTGGTATTCCTTTGCGTGGCGTAAGAATGGAGGTTAATTCAATGTAGATCATTGCGGAGGCCATGGCAACTGCATACAAAGGTGCTTCAAACGACATCCAGCAGAAGCTTCGACGAGTTGTGGAGGTGTGGAGGCAACGGTCAATTTTTGAGATACCTATTCAGGAAGCTGTAGAGGCTCGCGTGGATGGTAAGCTTTTCTCGTGATATTCGGCCTAACTGTCAGTTGGCTTATCGAACTATAGAGATTGATAAGTCACGGTCGACCGGTAAAAAGCCATTGTTGGGCGGATCCCTTTTCTCGAGCCCGTCTGGTTCGGTTCCATCCGAACTCCAGCCGCTGGTGCCTCTGCAAGCAGCTTTGTCTAAAGCGACAATGGCCTCCGGTGCGTCTGCTACTGCAGCGAATGGAGAGTACGACAAAATGAATGATCCCGCCGTACCCCTACCAACTCCTCCAGTGCACGCTGCACGTCTAAGCCAACTACTGAAAGCGCTTGCAAACGCTGAAAGTTCTGTGTCCGAGGTCATCAAATCGCGCCTGGCACTTATCGATGGTCTTGAGAAGCTTCTTGAAACCAATCGTGCAGCCTTGTCAAAAGAGCAGTCCGTTCTCTCGCAGCTGACCGAAAGGAAGGCGGAGACTGAAGCGAAGAAGCGGGACGTGGAAGATAGCATCATGAGAGGACTTTCTATCGACAATCCACCCGTGCCTCAGCCTAGCGATGCGGGCGCTGAGGCGCCAGCCGTGGCTCGTCCGGAGGTCGAGGCTTTGACTCCCCCGCCAGTGGAAGCAATCACCCCTGTTGGGTCCCCAACGCAAGCCCCCCAGGAGAAAATCTCAGAGTCGGTGGAGGAGGCTCAGGTCGATGGTTTTCCGCTTCCAGGCATCGGACAGCCTACCAATAATGTGCCATCTGACATGGAACTACCAGGTCTGTCGAATCTTTCCAGCATGCTTCAGCAGGGCAGTCCCAACGGAGTCAACTCGAAGAAGCGTAAGGTTACCCATGGAGAGGAGGACTATGCGCAATTCGCTAGCGGCGACCTGGACGCTGATGTCGCCGAGTTACTGAATCAGGAGGGCTATCCGCAGGAGAGGTAGCATCCTTAAAGCATCTAAGCTGCTGGTCCTATTTTCTTGTTCGGGCATTCTGCTTTGTACTTCCGACTTTGATCCATATTCCCCAAGCTTTGTTCAGTGTGATATTACTTCTGGTGGGCTCGGGCTATTCAATCTCCGTCTGCATGTGACCGATATCGAGCTGGAGTTATTTGCCAGTTTAATACAATGGAACGTTTCTTTTGTGACTTACAATTTTGACTCTGGGGGCGTCGCTGTCCCAGGACATGCGCACCGTATGTAGGTTCTATTCCGATAGCTAGTTCAATGACAGGCATTACGAAGCATCTCGCTTCCCGTTTTATTTAAATGCAAAGTACAGTGAGCGATGGGCCTAGGTAAATTACAAAACTAGACCTTATCTGATCACCGCTTCCTGAAGGCGCTATAGATGGTGATATTATGCATTATTTCTTGTCATAACCGTATCTGTCAAGTACGACTACCCATTTATACCTGGTTCGAACAACTTGTCCTCTGAAGACTGAATCGGAAACGGACGCCTCTTTCGACGATAGACAGATGTGGAAGTTCGAGGGAAAAGACTCGGTGGCTGCTCAGCTGGCGGCTGTTCGGCGGGTGGGGGAGGGGACGGTGTAGGAGCTGGTGAGCTATGACTCTTTGGTTTGACTATTAGTAGGATGATCATCCCTGCAACCAGGATGATAAGAAGAAGGAGGATTTTGCGTTTTGTCGTTCGCCGTTGGTAGTTGGTGGCCTTTAAGCAGCATTTGTCAGTCCATTGGTAGCCCCTCGATCTTCTCATAAGCAATGAACATACCACTTTCAGCTCCTTCTCGGCTGCCTTGACCTCAGTACCCATCCGTTCGATATTATAATCTATCCGGTCCAGCATGGTCCCCTGATCGATGACCATCGCTTGTAGTTCACGAAAGATGTCTGACAACTCAATGATGCTCTTTGCGATGTCGTTGATCTCCCGCTCTCGTTGCTCAATGGCTTCGTCATGTTGGCCGGTGAGTCGCTGTGACGTTTGCATGAGAGTCGACTGAGAAAAAGACTTGTCGGCGTCGGATTCCATTAATGAAGGATCCATGTAGGGATTCTGTGGCGTCGGAGCACGGTCAAAAGGCGCAGCGGCACCTTCAAGCCCTCGTAATTCTGTGAAGTCACGGGTTACAACATTTTCCCAATGGCCATGAAGGGTAACAGTGCATACTCTTCAGATAGGTGCTCTGCTTCTTCCTAAACCGAGCACTAGCCTCTTGTACCCTGGAAGCCAAGGATATCTGGATATTCTTCGCCATGGTCTCGTCCCCTGCACTCACTCCGCCCTGTTGCTTGGCCTCGCGCACCATCACTTCGATTCTCTGAACCGCTTTCTGACACTCATGGAACCCACGAGTTATATCCTGCGTGAGTCGTTCGATCATTCGCTCATCCTGCTTCCTTACATCCTCGTCGCCGAAGCCCGGTAGCAGATGCTTCTGGTGTAGCTTGTCCAGCTGTGCCGACTTTTGCGCAATGTCCGCGAGCAACTCGGTCACCTCGTCTTGAACGTCGACCCACCGCGGGGGCAGGAGATCCATCTCAATGATCGCATCGCCGTCATCTTCTAAGCCGCCGGAGTCAGATATTAGTCTGCGACTCTCTTCGGATTGTGAGGGTGTGTCGGTGAAGCCATTGGACGGCCCGATATAACGTGGCTTCTTGGCTGGGTGGTGCGTGAATGATTGACGGTAGGAGATATATCTGGAAAGGACAGGAGTATTGTCAGCTTTTCATGCCAGCTAAGTCCTAAGGGCTGTAGAGGAGTACAGGTTCGTGCGGTCCCGCCACATTGCGGCAGGTAATCTGGGGTATCAGCGATTCCTATGGTGGTCTTTGGCGGAGAGCGGCCTAGCTTGTCCGGATCATCGTCGGTCAAATATGAAGTTCTGCGATGGTGTATTATATGACGGTGAAAAGCAGAGGCTGGGTAGGAGCAATAATGCGGTCGGAATAGGGTATAGTGTGAAAAGGGCAGGTACTTGAAACTTATAACTCATCGCAATCACAAAGATATCGCCGACATCCGCAGCTCCATCACCAACAATGGCCCACGTGAAGGGGCACCAGTCCGTATGACGCCATGCCGCTTCAGGGAAAGCCGTTCTGGTACTTCCCGTAACGGGCCTGTAATCTGGGCTCTCCCCAGATCCATCAAGTAGATGCCTGGTAAATAAGGTATTATTACACATATCTGGGATCACTGTTGTACAGAAAGGAAAATTTGGTGACGCTGAGGATAATTCCGCCTTGGATGTCTACAGTGGGGTCAATACAGCGACATGGGTGGAGGAAACTAGTATCAGAGGACTGCTGAGTCTGATGAAAAGAGCACCTGGTTATCTAAGTAGGTAGTTGGATAACTTAGATCATGATACATGGAGTCATGGACGGGAGTGAGTCGAGTGACGATCTCCACCTCAATTCGTTTATCTCATCTGTTGATTTGATCAATGTATTAAAAGTCGTCGCATCCAGGGGTAGACACATTGGATTCGTGGCTCGGTTCCGGAATCCAGACACATGATTGAGTTTCTGAAGACGCTTGTATGCACGCCGGGTTCCAATTGTATTAGACAAATTAGAATCAGTCAATGTAAGAAACGAGGCTCAAGAACAGACATCTCCAGACAGGAACATTGACAGGCAAGGCAGCCAGCCTATGTGTACAAGACACGGTATCTAGGTGAGATATTCTGTGCTATTAAAAGCTGAAGAGTCGATGTTTAAAGAGCACTGCCACCGCTAAGGAACGGTAGCCAGAACTTGTTGCCTTCAAGCTTCAGTACTGGCCTTGGATCCACGAGGCGTCGTCAGCACCATAGTAACAGCCTGGATATACCAAAGGGCGGGAATCGGATGCCATTATGGGGGTTGATGTGTGCAGATGCACATGCTGGACAAAATTCTCCGCAACAGAGTCATAAAATCCGAGAGTTTCTGCCCTCTGCAATAGATAATGCAGATGGCAGGCAGTAAGCTTGTCCTGCCAGCCTAACCTTCAGCACTTCAGCCCTTCAGCCCTCTTTGGGCGCTTTGGCCAGGCGGTGCTCCGGGCGGGTCACGTTTTCAGGCCGTCAGTCCTCAAATTAAGCGACGGCCTGGTTTGCCAGGCATCCAGCTCGTTCTCTGGCGGGTCCAGTTATTATTGTCGACTTGGCTCAGCTTCCCCTTAAACACTTCTTCCCCGCTACCATCACTACCTCGCTAAACCACCGGCTGTCCAGCCTTTATATACCCTTACAGGCCACTGTTCAACCAGCTTAACATTTTCCGTTTTTCTTGCCACTTTTAACATTCCCATTTTTCACCATGGTATGCCTTCTTGTTCAGTCGCCTTGCCGAGTCTTGCTGGAAATCCCCCACTTTGCGGGGCAGATCGAGTGCTACTCTGGACAAATGTTTGCTGACACCACAATGTCTAGGCCGACTCTTTGACTGAGGAACAGGTTTCCGAGTACAAGGAGGCTTTCTCTCTCTTCGTAAGTGAACTGTCCAAGTCCCTAGTCGTTGCATAAGAGGAATTTCCTCAATATTGAGGGTGTGCGCTCACACGAGATTCGACCTATAGGACAAGGATGGTGATGGTTAGTGACCTTTTTTTCGCTCCCCGAACGTCGGCTTCCGTGCGATCATGTTCAAATGCCGACTTGCAATGTCCGGAAATGATCCATCAATACTGATAATATCTATGTTTGACTATTTAGGCCAGATCACCACCAAGGAATTGGGCACTGTGATGCGCTCCCTGGGCCAGAACCCTTCCGAGTCAGAGCTGCAAGATATGATCAACGAGGTGGATGCTGACAACAACGGCACCATCGATTTCCCTGGTATGCGATGCATTTGGTGTGACCTTGGGAGAGAGGAGAACAATCATTAACTCGTATTCAGAATTCCTTACTATGATGGCTCGGAAGATGAAGGACACCGACTCCGAAGAGGAAATCCGGGAAGCTTTCAAGGTCTTCGACCGCGACAACAACGGTTTCATCTCCGCTGCGGAGCTGCGCCACGTTATGACCTCTATCGGGGAGAAGCTAACTGATGACGAAGTTGACGAGATGATCCGCGAGGCGGATCAGGACGGTGACGGCCGGATTGATTGTATGTTGATCAAACAGCTTTCCTCTGTTGGAACCCGATTTACATGGGACCCGTCGCTAATTGTTTCTAGACAACGAGTTCGTTCAGCTCATGATGCAAAAATAAGCGTTTCGTTCGGCTGTTCTGTTCATTCTTAGCTAGTCGGGTGTCAATACATATATCCACTCTTCCCGTCTGACCTTCGTTGCTATTACGATTGTAGCTGATAGATATGGAGGGAGTATGGATCGAGGTTGACTTTTATGACCCTTCTGCTTGAATTGTTGATTCTCCTGTCGAGACTCGGAAATGATTGCTCTGACTCTGACTTGACCAATTTTGGTAATTGATGGAGGGCTTCGGTAAGATATTACATATCTGGTTATTTCCACATATTCAGTGTGATCGCCTCATTTTGCTTCTAATTGCTCTTGCCCGCCTTTAGTTATCACTATACCTGAATTCTACTCATGGTTCCAGTGCTCTCGGGCGTTCAGACATTGCATTCATCTGTTAAACCTGAAAATCTCCATAAACTGTCTAGCTAGGTCCGTTCCTGCATCCGGGTCCGGGTCATCGTCCTGCTGTAGGGCATGACCCTCATTCCTTGGTGCCGTCTGTCCCATTTTCTCTTGTAATTTTAATTTCTTCAACTGCTCTTTCACCTCTCTGCCAACGTCCGACACAAGGATCGCTTCTCGCGCTCCCTCGATCCCCAGCTTGGTCCAGAACTCCCGGATCAGCGCTGCAGTTGCAGAGTACTCCGCATCGATATCTGCGTCTTCTATGCCGCCGAAGAGCGCGAGGTCGATTCCCGGGTCCTGGTCACTATCCGAAACGTCGGAGTGCCCGCCTAGGTTCACCCCTCGTTTAGACTGTACGTATTGAGCGGAGATAGAAGTCACCAGTGACGGGCCCCTGTATTCTATCTCCACGACTGTGCCTCGGACCCGCGCCGCCGGCTGCGTCTGCCGCACGTCGCCGATCCGTACTCGGAAATCGCCGACATCGTAGACCATGCCCCCCGGTACAGCGACTGTATGTCGATGGCACCAGAATGGTTGGCAGGCGTAGACGAAGTGCTTGAACAGAGCTCCGGAAGAAGGCAAAGGCACGGTGGTCATGACTATGCCTGAGCCGCCCGCTGCGGCGGTATTGCTTGGAGTGGCTGAACCCGAAGCAGGGGTGACTCCAGGCTGAGGAGTAGCAGCATTCGGGACGGGAGTTTGCCCTGTCTTCTCGGGACCCTGAGAGGTGTAGATGAATCCGTGATTGGGGTAGTATGATAGTGACAGAAATTGCATGTACCGCGGTTGAGCGTGTCGCTGGGGGCCTGACCCAGGCACGCAGGAGGGAGTATCCCTCATCAACTTGTGCTCCAAGGCCCATCGGCCTATTGCGACAGGCTCCTCTGCGACGGCGGAGTGCAACCGTTCTGTGATGGTCGCGAGAGCTGTAGAGGCATTTGGGTTTGCGGGAATGAAGAACACTCTGCATGAGCAGTTAGCATTAGATGGCTAGAACCAGAACTCGAGACACATCTACCCTGTGATAGGCATCGTATGTCTATTCCCCGATGCAGGATTATGAATCAAAGTAAGCTGATTAAGTATCAATCTTGCGTATGACAATACTGTCACAATATCACCCAAACTGATTATTATAACTGGATTCTGAGCAACAGAAATTTGCAGCGCCGTGAAAAGTGTTCAAGAGTAGGCCACTGGAGAGAGTATCCAAAAGATCAGACTAATGGAACGTCTTCGAAGCATTAAAGCAGCTCGACTCTTGAGGGCCTGCCTACACTATTGTCAGTATGGACAAAGCAGTGGTCTACTTGCATTGGCACAATGGTTCTTAGCCTACCTATATCATACAAACAGCAAATGATATTAAACTCTAATGATCTCCAGCAGGAGCATGTTCACCAAAAAAGAAAAAGGAAAGATATATCCAAAGTAATGCAATAGCGGGCTTGAAGGAATGGCTTTATTGCTTTGCATGAGGACTACCTCTGATGCTATCGAATCCCTTGTCGTCTACGATGTCGAGGCAACAAGGCACCAATACATGCAAACCATGCAAACTGGTTGAGAAAAGTCCATCGAAACTCAAAGAGTTTCACAAATCCGTCTCCAACCACGCACAGTGTTCTTTTGATTTCTCAAATAATTGAACCTCGTCTTACTATACACTAGACTATGTTTCCTTATTTGCTCTATGATCTCCCAAGTCCTGGAGGATTTGTATGAGCAGCAGAAACTAACATATCCGCGATAATGCCAAGACGCCGACCAAGAGAGATGGTATCTGGATGTTTTGGATTGTTAGAGGATCAAACACAAGAATAGAAATTATCCACCCGCTAGATAGGCCCAGACCTAGTTTGCTTTTCCCATACCTATCTACCTATGACTGGTAGTCTGTTCGAGATAGCAAGGGTCTGGGGACCACCAGATTACGCAATGAGGACACTCGTCCCCTTTGATGTGCACGCCTATTGTCCTCCTATTCGACACGTCTTTCTCGATCGGCTTGACAGTGCAGGAACAACACTGCCACGCCACTCTTGCGGGCCCCTTATTTTCCGCTGCATGCCGATCTCTGCTCAGGGTCTTCAGCATACTCATACTCCGTACAGGAATTTGAAGTCCGACGGACTCAAAGAATGAGGGTGCGCATTACCAACTTCTCGTTAGGAGGCATAGAAATCAATCATGCTAGAAGCTCCTTGCAGTGCTTTCTTAGGCAATCAATGACAATCAATCGCCAGATTTTCCCGCCAATCATTATTATCTGGCTATTAGATGGATTCCAAGGGTTTATTAAAACAAGGGTGATCAATGGCCCAAAATAGTCCCTGAGCGACCCTGACAGGCTACTATTCTCCACTCTCACGGGGAAGCTGTCGTGTGTACATCAGTGCGGCGTCTGGAGCTTCCCCTCCCTTACTCCGCCGTACTCAAGCGCTTCCTTCTCATTAACCTCCAAATGTTGCTCTTTCTCATTGATTTCCAATATTCAACATCTGTCAAGCAACTTTGCCTTGGCCATGCTGCATCAAAACCGCCTGATGCTGCCTCGTCGTTTCGTTATTGACTGAATTCCAGCTTAGAGAAGCTCGGTCCCCTCATTGTCTCCACAACAGCTGTCCCTAGTCGAGGGAGCACCTCATCTTCAGCGCTATGATTCTAGGTCGCAGGCGCTATCGCTATGCCTTACCAACCTTTATTCTAATTCTCATTACCATCTTCCTTTTCTCGAGTCTACCGCCTGGCGCGGAACCTCCCTTTGTCGACGACCACTCATACTACGCAGAATACCATCCCCAACCCCCGCAGAACGATAACCGTATCCATTGGACCAAACATACCGAAAGACATCCTGTCTCCAGTTTTATTCCTCTCCCTACGCCCGCGCCGTCCGCAATCCCTCGTGTCCAGTACGACTTCGCGAAGGAATCATGGCTTGGCCGAAGGAAAAGAGTGAACAGACAGAAAGCTGTCAAGGAGGCCTTCACGCATGCTTGGAAAGGGTACAAGCAGCATGCCTGGATGCGTGATGAACTTTCGCCCCTCAGTGCTCGCTACAGAACCACATTTGCTGGCTGGGCTGCCACTCTGGTGGACGCACTCGACACTCTCGTCATTATGGGTATGGAAGACGAGTTTAAGGATGCGTTGCATGCCATAGAGAGCATTGATTTTACTACCACCGATGCCACCCAGATCAATGTATTCGAAACTACTATCCGATATGTAGGAGGATTACTTGGAGCCTACGACCTGACCGACGGAAAGCACCCAATCCTTCTGAAGAAGGCGGTGGAACTGGCCGACATGATCTATGATGCCTTTGATACTAGCAATAGGATGCCTCAGTCCCGCTGGCAATGGAGCAGGTAAGCCGGCCATTGTTCTGTAACCACCAACGCTGCTGTTAACTAGGCCATAGATCTGCGCGTGGCCTGAGCATTCAACCAAGCAGACAAACCATCCTGGCAGAATTGGGTTCATTGAATCTAGAATTCACCAGGCTGTCTCAGCTGACTCATGATCCCAAGTACTTTGATGCGGTCCAACGAATTACAGACGTTCTCGACGACGCTCAGAATAAGACCAAAATTCCTGGGCTGTGGCCTATGATGGTCAACGCTCAGGATTTAGAGTTTACAGACCCTCGCTTTACTGTGGGTGGAATGGCCGACTCGACGTATGAGTATTTGCCGAAAGAGCATATGCTACTGGGAGCTCAGACGAATCAATACCGCAAGATGTATGCCGCCGCCATGGAGGCGATCAAGAAGCGCTTATTGTTTCGACCCATGACCAAAAACGGCGAGGATCTTCTCTTTGCCGGGAACACCCACACGAGTCTCGCAACCAACGCGCCCCCAGAGCCTCAATGGGAACATCTGAAATGCTTTTTTGGGGGCACTGTGGGTATCGGGGCCAAGGTTTTCAACCGCCCGGAAGAGCTCTCGATTGCACGAAAGCTAACAGATGGCTGTATCTGGGCATACGACGTCATGCCCACCGGAATCATGCCGGAAATCATGCATCTCAGCCCTTGTCAGAGCATGGATAGTTGTGAATGGGACGAGCAGAAGTGGTACCAAGATGTCCGGCGGCGACTGGCCAAGGGATCAAAGGAGAAAGACACTGTTCGAGAAGCCAAGACAATTATCCAGGAGAGTGGGCTTCAACCTGGCCTAACTGAAATATCGGACCCGAGGTATTTGCTACGGTATGTGATTTGCTGACAATTGCTTTTGGTCTTGCATCATGTGCTGTAGTGCTGATCTTGGTTCTAGACCCGAGGCTATCGAGTCTGTTTTCATCATGTACCGCATCACTGGGGACAAGAAATTGCAGGACGATGCATGGAGAATGTTTCAGAGCATTGAGAAGGCGACTCGGACCAAGCATGCCCATGCCGCAATAGACGACGTGCGGGAGGTGAAGACAACCCAGTTAGATTACATGGAGAGTTTCTGGTTGGCAGAGACCTTGAAGTACTTCTATCTCATCTTCTCCGAACCAGGGCTTGTCAGCTTGGATGATTACGTACTGTATGTGCTGTTGTCTTGTGAGGTTTTCGCCAAAGCTAACGATTAAGCAGGAACACGGAAGCGCATCCATTCAAGCGTCCCTCTGCTCGTACATAGGTTTCTCAACCAAACCCTTCCTTTTCATCTCAATATGTCGGGCCGTGTGCTTTGGCATGGTTAGGTCTCAAGGGAAAGGAAATGGTCTAATCATTCCATTTGCTGATTATAAGAGGGCCAACCTGGAGCATTCACTCCAATATCCAGTTGGGCTCCCTAGACTATATAGAAGTCACTGGTGAATTAACATTATAGTATCATCCGGTCTTTATATATCGTACGGAGTGGCGTACTATGACTCACTCGTTACATAAGTATCCCAGTACTTTGCATCAGGATTAACACCCGAATCTGGTCTTTTCCGCTTATACTCAACCGAGTACTGCACGTCCTTTCGGATGATCATCTTCGTGGTCCCATCACTCCCCGCACTGGTCAACCCCTTCCGCTCCACCAGCTCAATGGGCGGCGATAAAGGCGCAATAGTTGAGTCCTCGGTACCAATCCCCCCGGTCGCCAAACACTTCTCAAGGTCGTCCGAGGGACGTCCATTCTTCGCCGCCCGACGCTCCCACAAGCGCGATCGCCACGTCCTCCTCTCCTCACTGCCCAACAGCCCGATCCTAGACTTGGACCCAGACCCGGAGCTATTGTCCTTGGGCATCCGCGACGAAGAGCCAAAGCTGCTCTTCAGGTTCGAGTCGCCCGCCGTGCCGTAGTTTGTGCTCACGGCTGCCATGAAGGGCCGTAGGCAGAACACGCTGCATGCGATCAGGGCGTAGTTGAGCTCCACCTGGGACCAGATCTTGGATGTGACGACAGAGAGGGTCGGGTCTGGAGCATGGTAGTGGCCGTTTAGGGTGTAGATGTGGAAGATGGTGAACATGATTAGGCTGGTTTTGTTAGTATTAGAGTTAGGAATCTTGTGTATAAGAAAAGGAGGCGTTGGGCTTAGGCTTACGGGAGTCGGAAGAGAAAGGCAGAGCCGATTTGGAGTTTGCGTTTCAGCGGCATGAAGAGGCCCTGGAGGAGGGTGACGGCCAGGGCGAAGAGGATGAGTTCGGTGACGATGTCCATTGCGGTTATGAACTCCCATCGTTGGAGCTGGATGTGTGTTAGTGAAGAGAATAGTAGGACTAATGCTTTCAGAAGAACATGGCTCACCAGGTTGCGGCATTGGCCTCCTGACGTCTTCCAGGGGCGGTTCATTTCACAGTTGAGGGCGAGGATGAGTGAGCTTGGGATGATCCATAATGTGCACAGGATGAGGGTTGCCCAGGAGATTCGGTTGTGGGTTTTTTGAGGCGTCAGCCGGAGGTAGATGCCCACGACGCAGCATTTGGAGACGTAGATGGTGATTAGGTAGAGGATGTCGCTTATTGTGACCAACTGTATGCTTGTGAGGGTTGAGTCTTGAGTCGCGTAACTTGCAGGCTCTCTTACTGTCTGGATTCTATTGATTTGCTCTTGCGCCAGCAGGTCGATCGAGGTTCCGAATCCTTGAGAGGCAGCCACAAAGATCAGTGTGGACTGCGCGATAGCAACAACCTGAATATGACAGAAATCATTAGCCTGTGGTTTGACTCTGGGAGCGCTTGTCCCAAATCTTACCGTTGCCCCAAGAAGAACATAGTCATCATACGCAAAGGGGGGACTGAGAGCCAGTCGCACATACACCCGGATAAGAAGACAGACTAACGAAACGACCAGCCCGAAGGCGGCAGTTATAATTATCCAGGCGCCATGATGCAGGTCATCCACCACCTGGAATGGTGGTGACTGTCCTGGAGGAACATACGGGCCCATGGCAGCATGGAAGCCGAGGGAGATGCTCAGCTGGAGATGGGAGGGGAATATATGTATTCCAGAGCAAACTCTCACAATGCTGGCAGCGGTCGAGT